CCACTTTATGGCGAAACGTTTCCACGATAAAGATACCCAAGTGTTGCACATGTGTCTACTTTATGAAATTTGTTCTCTGGGTCTGTGGTGTAGGTGTCGAAGTATTAGCTAGGCGGATAGTGTAGGCTGGGAGATAGTGACAGATGGTGAAAAAGAGTGAAGGGGAGTGACAGATGGTAAAAAATAGCGAAGAGGTAGGAATGTGTAGGAACGTTAACAATAAGAAAATCATAAGGATTTTTTTATTATATTTATGGGGGGATGCTGAACCTGTAAGGGTCCATAAGGGTTTAACTGGTGCATTTGTGAGCATTCTCTTCAAATTACTTGTTCTTTCTAGGCTGAAATACTGCTGTACACTAACAAGCAGGCGAAATTGCAGATGTAACGATACAGAGAACTTTCACTGCACGTGTAAGTACAATAAAGCACCTCAGTTACTGGGAATGTTTGAAGTACCTTGACTTGTACTCCTTGGAACACAGGTGAGAAAGATAAATCACAATTTACAATTTAATTCTAGAGGGACTAGTCCCAAATCTGCACATGGAAATCACTCCCAATGATAGCAAGACTGCAGACGATGCAACATCTCCCCAATGACTTTTTTCGGTTATCCTAGGTTCTCTACACATATGCTGCTATATATGATAATCTGTGTAACTGTATGCTACTATGATAATCTATGTAACTGTGTGCTGCTATGATAATCTATGTAACTGTATGTGTGTATACCTGAATAAACTTACTAAAAGCAGGGGTGCCATGAGTAAACAAAAACAAACAGCATTTTTTGTGTAGTATAAAAAGTGTAGTTTACATGTACGGAAATATTGTTAAGCACAAAGAAAGTCACTAAGGGGCTCAACTGCCTCCCAGCATACATTAGGGGGATTACTAATAGACCCCTGGCTCTCTTCAAGAGGAAGCTGGACAGACACCTAAAGTCAGTACCTGACCAGCCGGGCTGTAGTTCATACATTGGATTGCGTATGGCCAGCAGTAACAGCCTGGTTGATCAGGCCCTGATCCAACGCGAGACATGGTCATGGACTTGGCTGCAGGAACATTGACTCCTCAGAACACCCTCCAGATCATTGGGTGTTGAGGTTGTTGGGCGACTCTGAGTAGGGGAAAGATAGCATTATCCTTTTTTGACGAAACTGGGTCACAGCTTGATTATGCAGCAAACCCTCCTTAACCTTCAAACAGATCTTCATTTCTTTCAAGAAAATGGGGCTCTGATGAGGATATGAGCTATGTGCTTTGCTGTAGTTATGAGGTTGGTTGCAGGATGGATCGTTATGGCCTACTGCTCTGCATTACTATTATTACATTCATGCTTAACCCATAGGGAGTCATACAGCATGTGGAAAAATGGGGGACATTCAGATCCGATCTGAAAAGGAGGGCAGGTCCAATTTCTTGGATCAAGAACCCCTCATCAGCATCAAGGAAGCTCCAAGAATAGTTGTTACATTGTAGAGGAAGCCAATTCAATGGTTATGGTAAAACCATGGTCAAAGGTACTATTGTATATGTAAAAACATGGTTATCTTATTTGGACAAGTGACTGCCTAAACTTATGTCATTTTAGGCACTAAACCTGTATGGATTATACAGTACTTTGGGTAAGGTTATGCAAGGGTAGGGATGTGCGAAGACTAGGGGTGAAAGAAGAGTAGGAATATGCGAGGGGTAGGGGTATGCAAAGTAGTAGGTATCATTGGAGGTGGGGGGAGAGGGGGAGGTTAGTGCAAGTATGAAAAGAAAATCAGTTTGTACAGTAGCTTCCAAAAGCAGTTCCTGGCTCTGATGCGGGACTGTGACCATGCACAAGTCTGAAGAGGGTGTCACATTCACTAGGGATCCAGGCAGAATAAGGTATTGATTCGCTCATAATATATTCACACAAGCACTAAATCTGAAAGGTTCGTAGTGCTGCAGGACTGGGTGTGCTGAAGAAATTTGCAGAAGTCAGGAACAAATTCAGCGCAGGAGTAAATATGCAATTACATGTATTATACTCATAACTAAGTGCTAAACCCTTAAGGAGCTCTGTTCCACAAGGCACAGTACTCGCTCCCATCTTGTTCCTCATCCTCATATCCGACATAGACAAGGATGTCAGCCACAGCACCGTGTCTTCCTTTGCAGATGACACCCGAATCTGCATGACACTGCAAAGCTCCAGGCGGACATCAACCAAATCTTTCAGTGGGCTGCAGAAAACAATATGAAGTTCAACGATGGAAATTTCAATTACTCAGATATGGTAAACATGAGGAAATTAAATCTTCATCAGAGTACAAAACAAATTCTGGCCACAAAATAGAGCGAAACACCAATGTAAAAGGGCCCTGGGAGTGATCATGTCGGAGGATCTCCTTCAAGGACCATAACATTGTATCAATCGCATCTGCTAGAAAAATGAAGGATGGATAATGAGAACCTTCAAAACTAGGAGGCCAAGCCATGATGACACTCTTTAGGTCACTTGTTCTATCTAGGCTGGAATATTGCTGCACACTAACAGCACCTTTCAAGGCGGGGAAAATTTGCCGCCCTAGAAATGTACAGAGAACTTTCACGGCACGCAAAACGGAGATAAAACGCCTCAATTATTGGGAGCGCTTGAGGTTCCTAAACCTGTTTTCCCCTGGAACGCAGGAGGGAGAGATACATGATTATACACAGGGAAAATCCTAGAGGGACTAGTACCCAACTTGCACACGAAAATCATCACTACGAAAGCAAAGACTTGGCAGACGATGCACCATCCCCCAATGAAAAGCAGGGGTGTCACTAGCACGTTAAGAGACCATACAATAAGTGTCAGGGGCCCGAGACTGTTCAACTGCCTCCCAGCACACATAAGGGAGATTACCAACAGACCCCTGACAGTCTTCAAGCTGGCACTGGACAAGCACCTAAAGTCAGTTCTGGATCAGCCGGGCTGTGGCTCGTACGTTGGTTTGCGTGCAGCCAGCAGCAACAGCCTGGTTGATCAGGCTCTGATCCACCAGGAGGCCTGGTCACAGACCGGGCCGCGGGGGCGTTGAACCCCGGAACTCTCTCCAGGTAAACTCCAGGATCATAGAATGCTGCTGTAAGTATGCAAGAATAAGGGTTAATGGGGGTAGTGGAAAATGCTATTGCTAAAATATAATCAAAGTTGCTGCAGTAAGTTAGTTTCTCTTAAAAAGTCAGTGTGTACACCAAAGGTGGGACTTTCAGCAAGGTCAGGTAGAGTAAGTGCATTAGGGAGGTGGATTATTATTATAATCAAAAAGAAGCACTAAACCATTAGGGAGATGGAGATGTTGGAAGTGAATTGTGCACGCTCAACGATATGCAACTCCTGAATGTGCAGGAGTGGCAACTGAATAATACTTCCATGTTCAAACTCCCTGCCGGATGGTCTTTCATCAGAGGGTCTCCCGACATGCCCCAAGATCAAATTTTCATCTAGTGCAATATGACCACCACAACATTACCAATGGACGTTAGGACAGCTGCTGTACGGTGGTCTCTTCTATGAGCTACATTAGACCTCTAGGCGAGTACAAATAGGAAGTGTGTCCGTTTCGTGTTTAGGAGGCAGAGGATCGAGCCTCCACCACATCTTGTAATGACTGACTCACTTGGGCTTAGAACTTGACATGAATTAAATAAAAATAATGAGCTGCATTTCACAAAACTTCAATGTCCCCACTAATGAGGCCAAATGGAGAGAGGTGAATTATTATAAACAACACTAAGCACTAAACCCACCAGGGTCACACAGTGATGCAGAAAAAAAGTGTGTGTAGATTCAGTCCAAGGGAGGTCAAATTCCAAGTTAGAGCTCTCTGCTGTGGCACAGGACCCTCCCATCCTTGAAAGGGAATTTATTTGAAATTCTTCAAAGTTGTATGCAAACACTAATTTAGCAGAATTGGCAAGCAACAAACTTCATTCTGCAAAGTTTTTTTTACGTCTTGCAATATTTAGAAAACTTTTTGTTCACTGTGAAAGTGATTATTATATTTAGAAGAAAGTGCTAAACCTATAGAGGTCAAACATCTAGGGAATATGAGGCAATTGGACTTAATTCAAGCGAAGGATAAGTTTAATTCTTTGAATCAAGAGCCCTTCACCAGCATCAAAGAACCTCTGGAGGGGTGTATTTTGAATGCAATGCCTTGATTACAGCCTCTCTTCACTGAGCGATGTACTCGTTTACCGATGACTTGGACTTACGACGGGCTCTGACCAGTATTCGTACCTACATAATGCATGTTAAGAACTGATTTTCTCTATTCTGTTTATTACAATATACAGAACACTACTGTATAAACATATTAAAATATACCAAAAATGCTATAAATGGTGCAAAGGTGACATTAAAACAATATCCATGATGGCTGACATGAACCCACTATCATTATTAGCATGCTCCTCACTTACCGACGAATTCGTTTATCGATGAGGTCTTAGGAGCGGAACTCCGTCGTTAAGCGAGGAGAGGCTGTACTTTTATTACGACCAAGTGTTAAAACCACAAGGATGATACAGCACTGTTGATTAACTTTATAATTTCTATTACATTTCTGGATGAAGTGCTAAACCCATAGGAATCATACAGTACCTGGGCAGTATCAGAAGTATTCAAATTTAAAGGCAGGGCAGGCCCAATTCCTTGGATCAAAAGCCCCTCACTGGTCTTTAGGAACCTCCCTTGAGAGGTAAACACTTCTAGCTTTCACTAGAAGTCACAAAAATATTCATAATGCAGTGTTTATGCTTGTTAGGAGTGATTATTATAATCAAAACTAAGTGCTAAACCCACAAAGGTCATAGAGCACGTGTTGTAAGGAGTAAGCCCAAAGCAAGCAAAATGTTTTAAAAGTGGAGTAATATTTTTGGCTCTTTGTGCTCAAATTCTTTTACAACTGCATTAAACTTCAATTTCAGGCTCAACATTTTTTCCTTTTACGAGTACAAGGGTAAGAACACCATTTTAAAGTTTGTAAATATTTAGCATTGTTTTATTGCAAATAATGTGCTTCTTTACATTGCTTTACAAAATTTCCTATGCAAGCGTGAAACCAGGGCTACACTTGACATGTCAATCACATTAATACAAGACAGTACTGGCAACAATCATGCCTTGGACAGCCTCTTTAGGACTCACTTTGTGTAGTTTGATAAGCTTGAGTCATATAGAAGCACACCATGGCTACCATCTGCCAATCTTGTCTCATACAAATTTGGGCTTGAAAAGGAAAAAAATAATAAGCACATATATAACTTATTCAAAATGATTATGATTATATTAACCCATAAGAAACTTACTACTGATAGAACTCCGAGGCTTATTAAATATCCTCTCAGAAAGCACCCCTTACAATAGTCGACATCAACACATCTACTTCCACCTTGAGAATGCCAGCAAAGTTTGCAATTTATAAAGCCCCATATCATTCTTGATCACTATTTGAGAATGAAGGTATGTTCATAAAGCTAAAGTGATTCCTTCCCACCAGACATTTCTGAGCCTCTAGGCTCAGAGCAGTATCTGCCATTTACAGAGAAAGGATTTGTGTATTTTTTCATCAGCAATCACGACCATTAAAGTGACTTTAATAAAGTTAAGTAGTTCATTACTTCAATTACACAATATCATAAATAAAGGTTTTTAATACTTTGCTCAAAAACAATATATACTCAACAAAATAAAACAAATTTGAATTTTTCTACCAAATGTTTATTCATGTTTTTCTTTGTCTGATATTCAACCAATACAAGTTAAACTAACAATCTGTAAAATACCCAAAATTACTTTGCCTTGAACAAGATGTTTATAGTAATAGGCAATCACTATGGCTAGTGTCTAACAAAACTTTCCATATGCAGTTTATATTGGTATAACATTATAAAACTTTACAGAATGTTGTCTGTAGCATATTATTTTAGAGAAACAAGTAGATATCATTTAAACACTGCAGATTATTTAAATAAATCCACTATCAACCTTATTAATCAAAGAGATATGATGCACAGTAACTCTTCAGGTGATTGTTAATCATGCCCCATCAAGATATCAAACAACTTTCAATTGCTATGCTCTTCACAGAAACAAAGGTTGGTTTCAAATCAAAGTGCTTCTTATTGCATAGACTTTAAAATTCTGGTTTCTCTATTTTATCATTCTTGAAAGCCAGTAGAACCATAAATTCAAAATTTTCATTAACTGGTGGGGGTAAACTAGACACATCCCAATGTTGGTGTATTTTCATGTATTACTTTTTAAACCAGTTGTAAAAAGCTGTTCAGTAAATATTTTATAACAATAACAACAATAATTATAAAGATATCCACTGACTATTCCTAAGTTTGAGTCTTACTGATAAGAAAAGCTTTACACAAGGCAGAAGGCAATATGCCAACGTGAGAGAATAAGAGAAATTCGAGACTAAATATTTGGCAAATATTAAAGGACTTAATTCCCCAGCAAGACAATTTGTAGGCTGTGCTTATCAAATTTGGTAAGAAGTCCATACTAACTCAGTCTCAAATTTTGTGACAGCAACTCAACTCCAGATCAAACAGCAACAAAAGACTTACACTCCCACTGGTGTTCACCTGCAAAACTTAGGTACCAACAGGTATCTACCCAAGTTAACTGGAAAAACTACTATTTACCCTAAAGCTATTATGAGGTGTACATTCCACACCAATCACATTTCACACTTGGTTATGCAGTTAAAACTACTTGGTATCACCGACAGGGAAATAAGGCAGCCAATACAGTTCTCTGTCTGTTTAGTGTCTATCAACCAGCTTGCTTGATATGAACATGGGCTCTCATGGCTCCATAAATAAGGACAAAGTCTGCATTACTGAGGTATATGGCCACATTCCATTACCCACAGAGTAAATATTTGCAAGAAATTATTCCTTAAACTGGATATGGACATACTTTTCTATACTTCAATGCAGCAGTTTTTAGACGGCTAGACTGAAAGCAATAGAAGCTTTCTGCATATTACAATGCATGGTATGGGTGTGATGGTGCTAGCAAATATACAATGTGACCTAATTAAAACAAACTGTAAAAATTCCAATTGCCCATATATTTTCTTTTTTGCTTCAAGACATGATTAAACCATTGTTCTGCAGCCTTAATGCAATTAAACCTATTTGAATTACAAGCACAATGAAAAATAAACAGCAATCCATATTTTTAAAGTGCTTATATTTCTCAGCACGAAAACAGACAGGTATGGCAAACCTACTCCTTTATTTTAAACTTATATTATTTTTTTATAGTGTACTGTATAGATTTATAATCACACATTTATTACCAATTCTCTCTTGGCAGACACAGAAAATTAGCACTGCAATGCTATTACTAACCCAGGGAACATCAGCCTGGAGCAGCAGAGATTGCTGATAACGATGTAGATTGGTGGAGAACAAGGATAAACAGAGATTGATGCAAAGATGAGCAAACAATATTATCATGTCCTCAAACAACCTTATAACCCCTGCAACCAGACATTGTCTTCCACCAACCTGCAACTTTCCGAGTGATGAGTGTGTACAGTAGTTATTTGTGGAGATATTAACATAAGACAGGTGTCAAGAATTAGGAATTGAGGTGGGCTTGGGATAGACGGAACGTTAGAGGCTCTTCAGTAAAATGAGTTAGGAAGGTGGGGTTAGCGGGCACAGCAGTTGTTGGAGGAAGATCCGCTAGGGAGTTCGGTGGGCTCCACAGTGATTAACTTATCGCCAGGAGGTTGATTCGTTCCGCTGTCTGGGAGCTGCTGCCTCGAGACAATGCGATAGATTTCTGTGGAAGTAAATTGGATTTCTTAATTAACATTATATGAAGGTTTATAATTGAAATCTTACTGTAAGATACAATAATAATCATCTATGCAACAATCTCTACAAAAGCCTAATGTAATATAAACTAACTTTTAAAATAGTATCATCTTTACACACAAATTACAAAAAATAGCTTATGTAGTTTTAGTTTACAAACCACACTCATCAATGCTATTTGGTGATGCCATACCCAGTACAGTAGTGAACAATAATCACAACTATTAAACCCATTAGGATGATTTGGTGCTGCTGCTTTTCGGTATTTCTGTGAATTGGATGTTGATAAAAAGAACAGAAGGTAGCTAGATGGAGAGATGAAAGTCCAAAAATACATTGGACAGTCATAGAAAATATATGCATTTTAAAGGAACAAGGAGAAGCAAGGACATGGCTGCAGGAAAATACAGAAATAAAAAAAAGAGAATGCACAACACTTAAGTATCTCAAAGACACCTAGGTACAGGAAAGTACACTGGAGATGCCTCTTTGTAAGGTAAAGAAAGGAGGGAAAGCAGATAGGGAAAGAAAGCAAGTTTTAATATTCACAGGCTGGCAGCACCAGAATTTCTGTACTGGGAAAATTAGGGTGGCTATCTGGATGGAAAAGAAGGGAAAATATGTTGGAGACCTGTTTAAAAGCAGTGTTACTACTTACAATTTTTATTGGGAGGGGGGGGGTGTCTGAGGGAATTTTAGAAGGGCTGAAACCCCCAAACACCCCCCGAGGTGCCTCTGTTTACAGTACACTTAGACTTACAAGCTCATTAAGCATCTAATATACCAGCAAGAGTATTAATCCCACATATGGAAGAAGTGAATGTTTTCAGATACTTGGGAGTTGACGTGTCGGCGGATGGATTTATGAAGGATGAGGTTAATCATAGAATTGATGAGGGGAAAAAAGGTGAGTGGTGCGTTGAGGTATATGTGGAGTCAAAAAACGTTATCTATGGAGGCAAAGAAGGGAATGTATGAAAGTATAGTAGTACCAACACTCTTATATGGATGTGAAGCTTGGGTGGTAAATGCAGCAGCGAGGAGACGGTTGGAGGCAGTGGAGATGTCCTGTCTAAGGGCAATGTGTGGTGTAAATATTATGCAGAAAATTCGGAGTGTGGAAATTAGGAGAAGGTGTGGAGTTAATAAAAGCATTAGTCAGAGGGCAGAAGAGGGGTTGTTGAGGTGGTTTGGTCATTTAGAGAGAATGGATCAAAGTAGAATGACATGGAAAGCATATAAATCTATAGGGGAAGGAAGGAGGGGAGGGGTAGGGGTTGTCCTCGAAAGGGTTGGAAAGAGGGGGTAAAGGTTTTGTGGGCTAGGGGCTTGGACTTCCAGCAAGCGTGCATGAGCGTGTTAGATAGGAGTGAATGGAGGCGAATGATACTTGGGACCTGACGATCTGTTGGAGTGTGAGCAGGGTAATATTTAGTGAAGGGATTCAGGGAAACCGGTTATTTTCATATAGTCGGACTTGAGTCCTGGAAATGGGAAGTACAATGTCTGCACTTTAAAGGAGGGGTTTGGGATATTGGCAGTTTAAAGGGATATGTTGTGTATCTTTATACGTATATGCTTCTAAGCTGTTGTATTCTGAGCACCTCTGCAAAAGCAGTGATAATGTGTGAGTGTGGTGAAAGTGTTGAATGATGATGAAAGTATTTTCTTTTTTGGGATTTTCTTTCTTTTTTGGGTCACCCTGCCTCGGTGGGAGACGGTCAACTTGTTGGAGAAAAAAAAAAAAAAATGTATACGAAAAAAAAAATAGTATACTCGGATAATCATGACCAATCACATTATTTAGGTGACTGCAGAAGCAGTTCTGGACATTGATACAAGACTGCCCAAACTCACCTTGCTACCCACTGTAATCTTGAAATCTATAGTGCTTCACCAATTTCTACCAAACACAAGCTTAATAATGGATTTGATTATTTTAAAACATCTGTCATTTCCCAATGAGGCAGGGTGACCCCAAAGAAAAAAGAAGAAAACTATCAGCATCATTCAACACTTTCACCATCATTCATACAAAATCACAGTCTTTATAGAGGCACTCAGATACGACAGTTTAGATGTCACTCCAAACAGCCAATATCCCAAACCCCTCCTTTAAAGTGCAGGCACTGTACTTCACATCTCCAGGACTCAAGTCTGGCTAACCGGTTTTCCTGAATGCTCACACTCCAAAAGCTCGTCAGGTCCCGAAAACCATTTCTCTCCATTCACTCCTATCTAACACGCTCTCACACGCTTGCTGGAAGTCCAAGCCCCTTGCACACAAAACCTCCTTTACCCCCTCCCTCCAACTTTTCCTAGGATGACCCCAACCCCTCTTCCTTCCACTACAGATTTATATGCTCTCCAAGTCATTCTACTTTGTCCATCCTCTCTAATGACCAAACCACCTCAACCCCTTTTCAGCCCTCTAACTTATACTTTTAGTATTCCACGCCTAATTTTCCAAAATATTACCCTAAAACTTCCAAAGTCTCTACAGATACCGCAGTAAACATAAACCATGACCAATGATGGGAAAAAACTGGAGCCATAAGGCAGCTATAATGTTCTCCACAGTCTGTAACGTGCTACAAGTCAGTCTCTATGCCCCCCCCCCCTCCCTTACACACAAAGGAGCAGAGATTCGACCCCCCTGCAACTATGTATAGGAGAGTACACCAACACGCACAAGAGCACAATCACTGGTGTACACACGTGCACACCAAAATGCTCGTGTGCATGCACTCAAAAAAACAGCTCTGTAGACCTGAATAGAGCTGTCTATACACAGAGCAGACACTGAAAGTTCACCACCAATAAGCTTCAATATGAGAAAGTTATTGCATATAACCAGAAAACCTGAGGAGCACAGAAATGGGAACCCAAGTCAGCTAGAAAAGGATGGAGAGCCAAGGAGGAATGTACTCTGAGGAAATTGATGGTAGCAGGACTTAAGTGAAAGATAGAACAAGAGTGGGTAGGGAGGGGGAATTTTTAGTGATTTTTGGGAAATGATGGAGGAGAAGGTAAAGAAGGTATCTCCAGAGCAGGGAATGGAAGATGGGCTGAAGCTAGAGAGGCAAAGGTACAAAACCTGGAAGAGGATTTGAAGAGGGAACTGGAGGTGATGAATGAAACAAAGATGGGAGCTGAAACAGTAATAGGTGAGGGGACTGAAGGAAGAGGAGCAAAAACCTTTGCAGAGATACTTTCACCCAACCAGGTGTGGATAATGGGAACAGCAAAGGAATTCCTCAAAACAAACAGAAATAAGGAGAGAAAGAAAGTAGGAACAGGAGAGAGTGGGGTTGCTGATTATCCATGGGCTTCAGGAGGCTAAAGGAAGGACTCATGATGAAATATGAGAGGAGGATCAGATTCAAAATATCATCAACCTGAAAGGTGGAAAGGCTCAAGTGACCCAGGTGACAAATTTTCAGACTTGGAAAGTACTTGATGGGTAAAATGTTTCGAGTCAAATTAACCCTCACAATGGTCATAGAACAAGACAGGATCATGCAGCAAGAAACTAGGTTTTCAGAGAGAAAAAATACCAGAAAAAGAAAGAGCAAGAGAATGAATCAGCAAGATTGGCCCTTGTATTCACCCTGAGGGATTCTGACATGGGAATGGATATTACATTTGAAAGGTTCCTTGATGCTAGTGACCATGAGGTCCTTAGTTTTGAGCACCGAGAAACAGTGGAGAAAGCAGCAGCACTGGAAAGTGAGGAGCCAAACTTCAAACGAGGGGACTACACATACATGAGGCAATTCCTGAATGAAGTGCATCAGGAAGGAGAACTACAGGGGAAGAGTGAATGGCTGGAAAACGCAGAGAGACTGAGGAAATATTTATACGTACTTATGAGCAAAAAAAATAATGGAAAGAGTGGGAGCCCATGGTTTAACAAGAGGTGCAGAGGCACCAAGCTAAATGTTCTAAAGCATGGAAAAAACACAGGAGGTAAAGAACTCAGGAAAACAAGGAATTGAGCCGAATAGCCAAAAACTATTAGACAGGGAAGAATAGACTGAACAATAATTTGAGAATGACAGAGCATCAACAGCCAAAGCCGACCCAAAGTTGTTAAATAGCCACATCAGGAAGACAACAATAAAGACCAAGTAACCATGCTGAAAAAGGAGAGCAACTCACAAGGAATGACCAAGAAGTCTGAGGAGCTAAGCAAGAGTTTTAGGGAAGTATTCTCAGAGGAGACAAGGGCTACCAGCAAACTTAAGCAATAAAATGCACCAGCGAGCACTGGACTCGATACATACAACCAGGGAAAAGTTGTCTGAGCTCGATACCTTGAAAGTGGTGAAACCAGCTTATCTCCTACAGGTGCTGGTGAGGGGGCTCTTGATCTAGGGAATTGTATCTGTGCTCCAATTCCCCGAATTAAGCCTGAATTACTTCCATCTCTCCCCCTCCTCCACAGGTGCTGCATAATCCCTACAAGTTTAGTGCTTGTCCATAATAAAATCCCTCTGTGGGTCCTGAGAGAGGGAGATGATGTACTGTGTGCTGCTAGCAATAATCTTCAATAAATCTACTGGCATGGGGCAGTCCCAATTTTTAAAAAAAGCCGACACACAAGCCTGTGTACTCACCACGACCTAACAATAAAGTAAGAAGCCTCCGAAGACGTATCATTAACCACCCGCTACAGGCTACCAAATAAACCCATTAAACACAAGATTCATTTCAAAGTGAAGCTTCCTTTTCAAGGAGGGCCAAACATCCATGTCTTCCCAAACCCTATATAGCACTTTGCCAGTTGGAAGGGCCCACCAGGCTCGCCACTTTCCAAGAACATGTCTGTGATGGCCCCATGAAAGTCACTTAGGCAGAGGTCTACTATACAGCAGGCTTTGCATAAGCATCCACCCATTCATTTCCCATTGCACTGATATGACCCAGGTACTAACAGAGCTCCACAGCCTTGTGCTGTGTGTG